GGAGATTGAGACCATCCTGGCTAACACGATGAAACTTCGTCTGTACTAAAAATACAAAAAATTAGCCAGGTGTGGTGGCGGGCGCCTATAGTCTAACCTACTCGGGAGGCTGAGGCAGGAGAATGGCGTGAACCCAGGAGGCGGAGCTTGCAGTGAGCGGAGATCATGCCACTGCACTCCATCCTGGGCAACAGAGCAAGACTCCATCTCTGGAAAAAAAAAAAAAAAGAAAAGGATAAGTGTTCACCCATGTCAAATGCTGCTAGGAGATCGTGTAAAATAAGGACATAGACATGACCACCACATTTTTCAATATGGAGGTAGTTTAAGATCTTGACAACAGGAGTTTTAATGGGCTGGTTTGGGCAGAAGCCCAGGTGGAGGGAGTTGAAGAATAAATGTTGATTTCTGGATAAATGGCAGGTGGAGTGAGACCCCATCTCTAAAAACAAAAACAAAAACAAAAACAAAAAGGGCAGGTGGACCACAAGTGAAAAACCAAGATGATCACTAACTCCAAGGAATACAAAAAGTTGTTCATAGATGAAAGATCATCATAATATACTACATGGCTTAGCTCAGAGGGCATAATTGCAATCTAACTTGTAATACTCATCTGTCATGACATCATCATATCTAGAAAATGGTGGATGAAGGGTATATGTCAGGGGAGCGGGGAGGAACTGGTGAAGGAACTGACTCCTTTCTTTTGAAAGGATAAATGAATCAGGATCATGAGCTGAGATGTAGGAGATAAAAGGACCGAGAAGATGTAAAGAGTACGTTGGGAAAGGAAACCTGTAAGGGACATGTAGAAGGGTGTGCGGTGTCTGGGGGGTCCATGTGACATATGGAGTGATGTGTTGGAAATGCTGCCAGTCAGCACAGTATAGAGACTTTTCCCAGTCAGTGGCGGTTTCGAGAAGGTGGGTCCAGGGAGAAAGGGGCCTTGGTGTGGGAGGCCAGTCTTAGAATGAAGATCCTGGTAGACAGATCTGGTCAGCACAGAGGTCCTCGCCTGTCCCATGGCTTGGGCCCTTCAGTCAGTCTGGCCTCATCCGTTTTCAGTTGTTGACTCAACCCCCTGCAGTGAAGAAGGGGTAAGGTGCTGGGCCAAGGCACCTTAGCCAGGCCTCCAGCCTCCCTCCTCCTCAGCTAGCCTCACAACCCATGGAGTCTCGATGGGGCAATGGCCTCAGATCAAGCTTGTTTCCAGGCCATGAGTAGAATGAAAATGTCCCTCCTAGACTAATCCAGGAAGCTGCTCTCTCTGGAAATATCTCCTAGCTCTTAACAAGAATAATGGCAGTGGCCAGCCATGGTGGTTCACACCTGTAATCCCAGCACTTTGGGAG